CCAACTACGGATCTGCAGCTAAATGGATGCACAATGAGGCCATACCCTTTTTTTTTTTCTTTTTATTGAGTTTATTGGTACATTCTAGGTATACAGTACAACTACATTCATTACTGGGAACAAAATCTTTGTAAATAGGGACGGGTGGAGGGGGTGAAGGGTGGGCAGGGTATGGGAAAAAAGATACATTATATAAAGGTACAAGATCCCAATGATGAATGTAACCATACTGTACACCTAAAAAATACCAAGAAACTTAATGGGGGAAAAAAAAAATCCAATAAAACTACTTACAAGTTTGTCAAAAAATGAAGGACATCTGATATAAGTAGACTTTAAGTCCCATGGAAACAAAACTGAGTCTGGTGCTTCTAAGGAATTCCATCGTTTATTTCCAATCTGTGAATAATGGTTTTTGTTGATGAGCCAAGAAAAGATAAAAAGCAATAATAAAGGGGCTTATGAATAAATTGGAAAGGGAAAAAACCCTTATCTACTTACAAAGCTAAAATAGTGCATTCTATGAAACCATGACATTTTCTTGGACATAAAGAATAAAGGTGTACTCAAGGCATACTCAAAAATTCTAGCTCACCAGATCTTCAGGAACACTTTTAAGAGTTAAACTTCAATATAAACTGAACTTATACACTTCTTTACAAAGTTTAAGAAAATTTTTAAAAAGCTAGAGAATGTTAAAAGATCTGTACATATGCTGTGACTATCTTGAGGTAGGCCACTGATCTTCAGGAATGCTATCACAAAGAAAACCTTTTATCTCTTTTTCAATACACTTGTCCTGTAACATTGCCTATTTGTTCTGCCTTTACACTATATCCAAAATCTCAATCATCTCCACTACATCCACCCAAAGTCCATTCCATCAAAACCTCTCATGTTTGTGACATCTTCATTCAGCCTTCCTGACCTCACCCTCTTACAACCCTTCCAGTATCTGGAATACAATACTAGAGTGATCTTCTCATGGCTTCACCTTTCATCTAACTCAGGGGATACCCCTAGCATTCTGGACTTCCACCCCACCCACCCCCAACGTCCTGTCCCACACAGCCTAACTGCCAATTCTGATTCTTGAGCCATACCACACCCATGAAGACTCCCTCCTGATGACCTGAGAGCCCATTCCCTTCACTTGGAGAGCCTTGCATTCTGCTCAGAAACTTGGATGACTCCTTTGCTTTAAGATCATGCTCCATGGCATGTCTTCAACCCACTATTTATATAAAACTATAATCTACTCGAAAATTTTGCATAATTAATCTTTTAATGAAATTCATTTTTTTCTATAGATCTTTTCACTTCTCAAAAAATGTAGTTAACCTAATTATTTTCTTTACAGTCACTGCCTGTTCCTCCCCATGAAAACTGTGTGCTTTGTTCACTGCTGTGGCCCATAATCCCAGCACTCTAGGAAGCTGAGGCAGAAAAATTAAGTTCAAGCCCAACCTGGGCAAGATGGTGAGACCACATCTCAAAACAGAAAATTAAAAGTAGCCCAGTGTGAAAGGCTTGGATTTAATCTTCAGCACCCAAAATACAAACAAAGCAACAAACAAACAAACCAAGAAGCAACTAGAAGAGTACCTGGCTGATGGCCTCCGCAAAGATTTGCCAAATTGAGTGTTTTTTCTGCTGTCATTTATACTGCTTTCAAAATAAAAGTTTCCATATGTATATTGCTAATATGTGCATGAAAACATCTCTGAAAATGTGCTTAAAAAATATTACAGAGTACTCTAGAGAGGAAAAGGTTTGGCTAGGTAATCAGTGAAAGAAAAATGTTACTGTCTGCTTGTTTCTTCTGAATTCTGAGCCAAGTGAATGGGAGCAACAACCAGCCCAGTTTCTATAACTGTGCCCTCATTCAGGATACCAAGTATAACTGTTGGCTATGATTTCCAAAAAGTAAAAATCAATTCCCATATTAACTCACTCTTTATAATTAGCAAGTCCATGCACAAACTGACCATAACTCATTAAACACTGTGTATTCAAATTAATGTAAATTAATGTTCTGTTCAGAAAGTAAGATATATAAAAGATGAGACACTGCAGTTTTATTAAATTAAAAAAGAAAAATCCTTACTTCTATCTTTTCTTTTAGTGTTTTAAACATGGATAATATAACATGTTCTTCCTCTATTTGATGAACTTCTTCTCTAGTAGGCCATATATCATGCAGGTAAATGTTCTTGCCAGTAGGATTAGTACCTGATTAAAAGACATTAATGTGGTATTCAGTAAGTAAATGATTCAACAAAAGGGCACTTCAGGCTTAAGCAGCTAGAAGAACAAATGATCTACAGGATGTTTTATTGTCTTCACAAACACAAAAACCAGTAATTACTCATGATTATATAAATTCTTGTAAAATAAATGTAAGAATGGATCATCTCAGAAACACTTAAGATACAACTTCTAGGAGAAAAAGGTACAGATGTGCACACATACACGTGCATGTGTGTGCACACACACACACACACACACACACGCACACACAGGAAAACATACCTAAAGGCTCTGTCTGGAAATCTATGTTCACCGTGCCTGCTATGGCATAAGCCACCACTAAGGGTGGAGAGGCAAGATAATTGGCACGAACACAGTCACAAAGACGACCTTCAAAATTTTTGTTTCCGGATAAAATTCCACAGGCAACCAAATCACCCTAAAAAACACAACCACACAAATAAGTACATTTAACTGAAGACAATCATATAAAAGCGATCTTATATATTACAGTTCTGAAGGCAAGACAACCAAAAAAATCTATCACCACGAATCCTATAAACTTTTAGTAAATCGTCATATTACCAAAGACGTATCTTAAGTATCTACAAATGAAACCTAAAGTGTTGGCACACATTTGTAATCCTAGCACTCTTGGAGGCTGAGGCAGGAAGACTGCTAAGTTCCAGTCCAGCCTAAAAAAACCTTAGCAATTTAGTGAGACCTTTTCACAGAAATAAAAAGGTAAAAAGGGGCCGGGGAATGTAGCTCAGTACAAACGCCTTGGTTTAACCCCGAGTACCACCAAAAAAGAAAACAAGATTCTTGGAATCATTTTAAGATTCATAAGTTATTCTTCCAAAGAGGTGTAGGGACAACAGAAATATAAATACGTCAATATATTTTGTATAATTTAGTAACAGGAAAATTAAGAAAACTCGCTTGGATGTCTTACCAATCTGCACATTTTACCTGTTTTACTGCATTTAAAACTGCTTCTGATAAGGGTGCTGTATTGCCCACACATGTCGAACATCCATAGCCAACGATTTCAAACCTGCATTTCAAAATACGAAATTGACTAGAGAGCACACTGTATTTGTAATGAAAAGACAACAAGGCTTATCTTGCACCTCTAATAATAATCATGATACATGGAGTAATCTATACTAATATATTAATTCTTCAGTGTTTTTAGCATCAAATCATTCTTAGGCATGGTCCTGGTGCTGAATGCAAACCTCTCAGAAGCCATGGTATTTCATGCGCTCTTAAAGGCCGACCGAACTTGTCACACTACCCAAGAAAAGTCAAGCAGTATCTGTTGGGAATACAACATAATTTTTTAAAAATCCCACTGTACTTCTACTCTAAGGGTTTGCAAAACTGCAAAATATCAAGATGGCTTGGCTACAACAAATTTTACCAAACGCCGTAAGAGGCAACTAGGTGCTGTGATAGGAGTAAATCTTTCAACCTGCAGTCAAATCAATCCAAGAATCCCTGATAGCAATTTCATGGTGGTGCAATTTAGGTTTAGATCACAAGAATAATCCCCCAAATTACTTTCAGCTACTGCTCTAATAAGCAAAAAGTCTAGAATATATGTAAGAAAAGAAATACAATTTATAAATGAATATGCTTCAAAATATGCACTGAAAACACAACTACCCTCAATTTTATTCTGATTACCTAAAGAATGGAAAAGTTATTTTCTCTGAACACTCAGGGAGAATGCAACCAAGGAGTCAGAGACCCAATAACCAGAAACTGAAGACAATTTACTCCTTTACTAAATACAGGTTAGGAGATTTTATTCTTTTCTGAACTGCACATCACGTGTGGGAATCCCATGTACTGGCACTGCCACTTTCTGTCCTTGTGCGGTGTGTCTTTCCACCTCAGTTCTCCCAGGATAGAGTTCACAGGCTGTTCTGTATCTAAGGAGCCACATGGTGACAGGCTGCTTGGCTATGCCTGAGAAAATGTTTGCTTATATGCAGCCTCCTCACAGATTGTGGCAACAGAAAGGTAGTGAGTAGAATCACAACATAATTTTATTTCCGTCTGTTTTACATATATGAAAGGTGGTGCAACAAAGTCAATATAAATCCTGGTAGCTGTCACTTACCCGAGCTTGCTAAGATAAGGCAACACTCCACTTGAGCTGAGGTAATGCGTGACCATCCCACTGCCTGGAGATAAACTTGTTCTTATGTAAGGTTTAACACACAGACCAGCTTCAACGGCCTTCTTGGCCAGAAGACCTGAACAGGGAACAAATAATTTCCTTTTTTTATGGCAGCATTTCTTTCCCTTTTTCATATGAGAGAATGAAGCAAGCAAGACTGGGGTCCAAAGATACACATTCCTAAGTTTACCATCATTATTTCATCCATTTTATTCTATTGATTTACTTCACTTAAATTAAATATTGTAATCAAAAAAACTGTAATTGATAGCTGGATACTGTGGTGTGTATTTATAACCACAATTACTTGGGTGAGGCAGGAGGATGGCAAGTTCAAGGCCAGCCTGGGCAACATAGTGAGACCCTATCCTAAAAGTTTAAAAAAGAAAAGAAAAGAAAACAAACAGGATTAGCAACATTGCTCATTAGTAAAGCATTTGCCTAGCCTGTGTTATGCCCAGGGTTTTTAATCCTCAACAAGCCAAAGAAAGGTACCACACATACTAGCCATCATGCTATAGATTATTTAGGCACAGGCTGATGACATGGCATCATGCACACAAACAAAAAAAGGACAAACCATTTTTAAGTGCCATAATAATAAACTAAGAGACATGGAACATTTACTATGTATAGTTTTATACAACAAAAGAACTATAACGTCCAGGAGAACTGATTTCATTTACAGTTCTTATTAATCTTTTGCTTTTTTCACAATTCTCAGTGGACTCTAGCGCAATGTGATGTTAAATTTCTAGAAAACCAAGAAATATTTGCTGACTATCCTAAAATAACAAAAGAGATACAATCTAAAATTATTAGACATGAAGGACATAGTTACAAAAAGTTGTCTTCTGTGCAATAAAACAAAATTCATAATTTAAATAAAACTCAGGATCCTTAGGACCTAATCAATACAAATACAGACATGGATACTCATGTATTACCTAAGCAAAAGATAATGAAAATAACAGGCAAAAAAATCTAGGATAACAAAGCCTGGCTTCAAGCCATGGCCCACCTGCAGCAAGCATGACGGTCGGGTTACAGTTATTGGTGCAGCTGATGACTGCAGCGATGACCACAGACCCATGAGTCAGCTGGTAGTCACGTCCTTCATAATGGATGGAGATGGTGTCACTTTGTTTTTCAGCTGCAATTTGGAATCCTTTAAATCCAGTCTATACAAATTTACAGACAAACACAAGGTAAGTATTATGGATTGGTACAGAAAAAAAGACCTACAGAAAACACAGCAGCTACCTGACACCTGACGATATAACCCTCAGTTGTTTTTTGCAGGGGGCGAGGGGAGGGTACCGGGGAACAAACTCAGGTCCTTGTGCCTGAGAGGCAGGTGGCAGAATCACTGAGCTAAATAATCCCCAGTCCGTCAGTTTTATTTTGGGGGGGGGTACTAGGGATCGAACTCTGGTCCTTGTGCTTATGAGGCAGATGGCAGAATCACTGAGCTAAATCCTTGGCTCCCCCTCACAGTTCTAACTGCTTGTGACACCCAAGTCCATAACACTAAGTAGTTCTAAGTCAGCTGACACCTGAGTTGAGCAGCCACGATGGGAGTATGGTGGTGTCCACAAACAAAGCTTCTATCCACCCCGCGAATCCAGCCATCCAAACCTAAGATTCTATTTGCTCAGTTGTTCTATCTATTCCTGCTCACAGTGATTTTTTTTGGGGGGGGTAATGGGGATCGAACTCTAGCCCTTGTGCTTGCGAGACAGGCAGCGAAACACCTGAACCAAATCCTGGCCCCACAGTGATTCTTAAGAAATGGCACAAACTGTTCTGAAGATCTGCTGGGAACAATCAATGTGTGTGCAGTAGGATGAGACCAGAACAGCCACGGGTCAGTCTGTGTGAAAGCTGGGTGACAGGCACATGTCAACTCACTGCATGACTGTATTTCTGTAGAAATTTAACATTTTCCAAATAAAAGTCCAGAAATGATAAAAAGGCTCTGAAAAGTAAGCCAAATCCTACTTCTCTCAACAGAACAGAAAAAGTGACAAGATTTAAGCCATGATTCAAGGATAGAAAATGCAAACTCCTAAAGCCAAAAGAGTTACTTGTTCAGCAGTTTCATTTTACCAGATGGTCAGAATACAATTACATGGTGCAGTGGTTTCCCCCTCTCTGGAAAGCCACCAGGTACAGCACAGTGTTCTCCACAACCATTTCTGTGAAGCTGTAAATACTCAGTACCCGTGCTGTCTGATCCAAAAGCCACAGCCTCACATGGCTGTTCGACACCTGAAATGAGACTGTGACTAAAATTCAATGCTGATTGGGGCAACCCATTTTCAGGTCCCCCTTCTGTCTCTCTTAGAAGCTTTCTTTCCCTCAATAAATTTTTCCTATTTTTTAACCTCCACTGTTCCTAAAATTCATCCTTTGATTTTAGAGAACATGAACTCGTGTTTCAGATAGCTAGCAGGTTTGGGAGTTACATCTCTTCCTCCTATATCATTTGGGAGGTCTTCCACCAAGATTACTGGACAGAGTGTTTGGTTCAAGGCACTTCCCTCCTCTGTGGCTGCTGGATGGATTTCAAGACAAAGCTTCCAGAATGATGAGTTTCCCTTTCCTAGAACCCTTCCAGGGAAAAACTGACCTTCACTTATTTCTGGGCCATACAGAAAACTGGTCTAGGTTTAATCCCAAAACTCTTGAAGATTAAATGTAAATTATAGTCCAGATTTGTCTTTCAGCCCTGAGGTGAAATTAGAGAATGAAAAGAACAGCTAACCCGACTCTGGCCACTTCCTTGCACCTCTAGTTTGCCACTCTAGTATTGGATGACATAAAGTCTAAGGGACACCTTAGGTTAGGCACAGAGCAAGAGGGACAGACAGGGGTACCTTCTTTTGCTTTCTTTTCAACATGGGAAAAACTGTCATAGGTAGACACCTGCAGGACAGCAGGTTGGAGCCTTGGCAGGCCTTCTTCCCTCACTGCATGGAATTCATACTTAGCTCCAAAGAGTTCACCTCGGCTCTTCTACATGCAAACCTGCCCTGAGTGGATCCCCACTGGAGATAGTTAAAATTACCTTTAATGGTCTGTCCCTTTAGAGCGAACAATTACATGTGACTATCAAACAAATGGCTATAAAAGCAACTATGAGAAGCCTGTGTAGCTGGGTATTCCAGCCAGATAAATTGTTAGCTTAGAACCCATCATAAAGCTGTTTCTGCTTTCACAGTTGTAGATTTTTTCCTTTCGATTATTACAAGAGATCTCCATTTATCTGATTTACAAAGTTCTGACTAGTAGTATTTATAGTTATAAACTATAAATTATAGTTATAAAAGTGATTATAATTCAACTTGGCCAAACATATGTTAGTGCACCCAGGTTTAGAAACAAGTTGTCTTATATGTGTGTGTCTGTCTGTTCCATTTGTTACAACATGTACAGCTGTTTTCATTTTTTTTTCCTTTTGGCATTTTGGAATTTTTAAAGATATTTGCCTATAACTCAGGTTGACTTATAGATAAATGTCATTAAAGACATGCTTCCCCAGGTTGCCATATGATCCAAATAATGTCAACTGGTTTTACAAATACAGTACATATTGTTGTCTATATATAATAAAGGAATCTTTCATGGGTCAAAAATAATGTGCTAATTGTTATGATCTGGCTCTCCAAAACTCTGTTAAGATAATTAAAAGAAAAAGACTTTTGGGCTTAGGAAAACTACTGGACAGACTCTCCTTGGTAAATAAAGGAGCAGCTGCCTGGGAAAAATCTATTCCTGTCTTTGTTCACAAGGGGGACCCCAATAACTTCCATAGCCTTGTGGAAAATACACTGCTAAACATATTACTGTGATATGTATACATTGGTCATGGTCAAATGGCCAAGTTTTCTATGGTAAAACAATAAGGTTTTATTTAAAATGCTCTTGGCACAAAAAATTAAAGGACAAAGGGTTTCATGTAACTGATACTCATTGTTATTTCATGGTATATATATTCGTGCCTTCTGGGTGTACAAGTCCTCTAGGATACTGTTTATGGTAATGATCTTTTTGACGCAGGTATCTGCCTTTCTTGCACTCCAGGCTCCTTGTGATAAGAGATACATGTCAAACCAGCATGAGATAACCAGTCAAATAATTGTTTTCTTAAAAACTTATGTGATTTATGTGCTATATGCATCATCATGCTTAGGGATGCTCAGTTGCCAAGCAGTCAAAACAACGTCACAAAATAAAATTAGAGGTTAGACATTATGAACTCCTAAGGTACATTTATAGGCCAGTATGTATGTTCTCCTTAGATGGCATCCTACTAAAGAATAACAAATAAGAGTTTTCTTTATGTCATTTAGTTCTGTGACCAGATGGAGTGTTTGACTGAAAGACTATTTCATACTAAGATGAACACTTAAATGTTACAAAGAAAATGTTATCATGATTGTCATGCTAAAATACTATGTGTGGCTTTTTTTTTTAATGTGTGGCTGTTGATCTTAACTTTCTCTATAACTATTTTCTGTTAACATTCTACAAGGGTTCAACTACTAGAACAACTATGCTTCATAAGAAATAACAGCCCATCTGATTGTACTTTATACTTCAAAGTGCTTAATGTCCAGATAAAATTGTAACAGTCAAGCTACTAATGTCACTGATCTTGTCTTCTGGGTGTTCAACAATTAAAGTTTGGTGCCCAAAACTAGAAAGGTAACTGGGCTATGAGAACAGCCAATATTTTGGCCCTGGCCCCGCAAGGTCTACAAGATCCAGGACACAAAGGAACCTTTCCTACAGGATCCTTCATCTTTGGTAAGTCACTCAACCTCCTGAGCAGGGAGATTACTGGGCACCAGAGGATAAATATACTGTATGCCAAAAGAAGGTCACCATGAGGGAAAAATCTCCCACGTCTTCACTGAAAGCAACATGGTCAATCAAGGCCATGACCCATCCTGATGACTGACACTGACAGAGAAGCTGAGAGGCTCTATGTATGGTTCTAAAATAATGCCTGAAGAGACTTAACAGACCTTGATAGATAGCAAGAGGTTCATGTTGGTTAACACAGGTCTCACTTTAACTTGGTCTTAAACACCTAAAAGAAAAGAATAACCAAAAGAGGTATAAAATAATGCCATAGTAATAAAGTTAGATATAAAAAGGGGCTCCAGTCACTGACACCTTCTGGCAGTTTCCAGCTCTACCAGTAGCTGACCATGGTTATGGATCATTAGGAAAAAATTATGGTAAAATCTGTATGAATTCAACTAGAATTATATTGCTTAGCGAAAGTTGTTCTTCACATTGTCTCTTATCTTACAGCTAAAACTAGAGAGACTACTCTTTCCAGTAACTGAGCCTGGAGACACCCTGCAGAAAGGGCACCTTGCAAGGGGGAGGAAAAGAAGGAAGAACAGGTGATCAGTTTCAGGCCTCAGGTGGCTGAAGGGGAGAATGTATTTGGTGTCTGTCACATCTTTGTATCCTTCAATGATACTTTCGTCCATGTAACTGATCTTTCTGGCAAGGAAACCATCTGCCGTGTAACCGGTGGGATGAAGGTAAAGGCTAATCGAGATGAATCCTCCCCATATGCTGCCATGTTGGCTGCCCAGGATGTGGCCCAGAGGTGCAAGGAGTTGGGTGGGCATCACTGCCCTTCATATCAAACTCCGGGCCACAGGAGGAAACAGGACTGATGAGTCAGCCCTCAGAGCCCTTGCTCGCTTGGCGATGAAGATCAGGAGGATTGAGGATGTTACTCCCATCCCTTCCGACAGCACCCACAGGAAGGGAGGGTGCCATGGTCGCCAGCTGTGAACAAGACTCAAGTTGTTTCTCTTAATAAATTAACTGCATATAAGTTAAAAACAAAAACAAAAACAACTAGAGACATACAACAAAATATCAGACTTATAGATATACTCCATCAGCAGGTTTAATCACTATTTTAATTTCTAAGTGTGACTTTCTCCCCAACCTGCCCTTTCATTCTAGTGTGCTCATGCTTAGATTATGCATACTCTAATTTCTTAAAAGTTTTGTTTATTCTTGCCTAGAGGCTGCCAAACTCCAAGTGGTCATACAAATGGAACCAATGACAAATGTGCTAGACTCTTTTACTGGGATCTATCAGATCAACCTTGAAAACAGCTCAAAACTGCTAAATTACACGACTTCTATGTTGGGTTATGAAGTCCCCTGGACCTTCTCCTTACACTCTCTGTGGGCTATATTCATAGCAATTCTGCTGACCTTATAATTCGGCCCATGCATTCTTAACTGTTTCTTTGGCTTTGTCTCCTCCAGACTTAAAAGCTACGCAGCTACCAAAATGACGATGCCAGGTAGATAGGTGCTCTGCAGAGAAACTCTAACTGCTGATCACAACTACAACCCTCTTCAGCTGGAAGTAGCCAGAGCTGTCTTTGCCCTTTGCCCCCTCATAGCAGTTAGGGGTACTTCTTCAGAGGGGGAAATACTGCACATAGGTAAGTTAATTAGATATCTTATAGGCAGTTAAGACGGGCCACCCTCAAGGAGCCAACACAGCAAGGAGTCAACATGGAGGACAATCAAGACACATTCACTGAAGGCCAGAAGTGTAAAAGAAGAGGAACTACTACACCTTTGTGCTTCCCCTGGGGATAAATAGCAATGACTGATATTCTAAATAGGTTTCAATAACCTGGAGAGCGGCAGGGTCTTAACCCAGATTTTCCAGGAAATATCCCTTCTAATGCCTTACTGAAAGTCCTTGTACACTTGCTAGGTGACATGCTCCCCCATTTAATCAATATTACCTGGGTGACTGTACTTGCAATCTTATTGGTTGGTCATGGTTTGCCCCCCTTATGCCCACCTTGTCATTTTCCATTGGGTCTTAAGAGTTCTGTCCCACTTTGTACTCTCACCACATGGCTTTGCTGTACAAAATATCTTCGGGTTGGCAACCCACTTTCCAGTCTCCCTTGGTCCCCTTTTCTGTCTCCCATAGAACTTTCTTTCCCTCAATAAATTTTTCCTACCCTTTAAAAAAACAAAACAAAACAAAACTCAATGCTGATCTTTTAAATTGTAATTTAAACATAGTCAACCTCTGACCTTCACAGCAGAGCTGGGAATCAGCTCACCAAATGACTGACACATCAGAAGACAAAACGTGCCTGCTGGTGTGTGCCATAATATAAAGCACAGTAGCACACACCTACAATCCCAGAAAGGGCAGCAGCTGTGGTATGAGGACTGTTTGAACCACAGGTTTCAAGTCTAGCCTAGGATTCACAGCGAGGCCATAGGTTGGAAAAAAAACAAAAAACAAAAAACAAAAAACCAAGTGGTGGGCATGCCAGCCAGGGCTACATAGTGAGTTCAAGGCCAGCCTAACTATCCTGTCTCAAAAAAAACCAAACCAAACCAAAAGAGGTAGGTCAAGGGCTGGGGATATAGCTCAGTGGCACAGCAAATGCCTAGCAAGCACAAGGATGAGTTCTATTCCCAGTACCACCCGCCCCACAAAAATAAAACAAAAAAACCCAAAAAAACCACACGAAACAAAACAACCCAAAAACCCAAAAACCCAAAAACCAAATCAAAAGAGGTAGGTCAGCTGCAGGTCAATCTTGTAAACTTGTGGTTCTTTACTATGGAGCATAAAACCTGGTGACACATAAAAGTGACAATAAACAATTTACCTTTTCACTTAAGCAAGCCTGGAAATCATTTTTCATATCTGTCACAGCAACTCTATCCTGGGGTCTCTTGGGACCACTGACTGATGGAACTATTGAATTCAGATTAATCTGGATCACCTGAGGAAGAAAAGCAACCAAGTTTCTAGGCACAGATTCCAATTCAAGCATTGCTTTCTGTAGCAGAATAGGTATATTTACATTTATTTGAATGTAATTTGTGTGTTTATGTGTTTTGACACAGGGTCTTGCTATGTAGTTGAGGCTGCCTTTGAATTCACTACGTAGCCCAGGTTGGCTTCAAACCCACAGATCCTCCTGCCTTGGCCTCCCAAGTGCTCGGATTATAGGTGTGTGCCACCTGCAATTTATTTTAATAACGAAACCATCCCCTAGAAATACTTTAAGCCTACTTAAATTTATTAAACAAATTTACTAAAAGCAAGACAAACAGATCAGTATGTAATCAAACTTCTCTAACACCAACTATATAATTTACATAAAATTTGCCTGTAATCCGAGCACTCAGGAGGCTGAGGCAGGAGGGATCGCTGTGAGTTTGAGACCAGCCAAGGCTACATAGTGAGACCCTGTCTCAAAAAAACCAATATTGAGTGAATGAATGAATGAACGAACAAAAAAAAAATTCGTTCCAGGTGTGTGTGTTGGCATATGACTGTTATTCCAGATACTTAGAGGAGACTGAGGCAGGAGGTCTGCAAGTCTTGAGGCCAGCTTGGGCAATTTAGGAAGATCCTGCCTTAACATAAGATTTAAAACAAGGGCTGGAGATATAACTCAGTGTTCTCCATATTTAATCCCCACTATGGGGGAAAAAATTCAACCTTTCTTTGCTCTCAGATCATGGAGGTAATGTGTGGTCAACATTTTTCTTGTTAGGTTGCAGGACAGGAAGCTTCGTCAACAGAAGGCACTGCAGGACACAGCAGTGACTCCAGGTCTTCCAGCCAGGTTCCTTCCCGTTCAACAGGCTTTCTGTTCTTTGGTTCAGGCATTATGTTTGTTAAATCTCACTTCTCAACTAGTTTTCTATTTATTTTTACTATTTCCTTTGTCTATTTTACGTGGGTAACCAATTCAAAACTTTCTTTCCCTCATGGTGTCATTATTTGTTTTTCCATTTGCTAAATTTACTTTAACAAATCAATTTAGAAATACTATAGAATTAAACAAAACTTCTGACATGTAAACATACTGCCATGTTCCTGAAACAGATGTTAACACCTGATAAAAGTTACTAACTGCTTGTTAGGAAAGCTGTCCACGAATAAGGTCATTCTTCAGCAAAACTAAAACCATTGTTTCTTCAGCATTCCTAGTCTGACAATACTATCAAACCACAAATAAAGACAACACTGGATGGATAGCTCAGTACCACTGGTTATAGCTGTTGAACAGTTTCATTTTTGGCACCACATAAAAACAATAGCTTCCATTATTATTGAACAGCCCTGTTTATTCTGACTCATCTATCAACTTTCCTTCCACTGCCATTTAATGGACTCAGGTGACCTACTCTCTCCTAACGGTGCATTAAGGAGTTTCTTCTGAAATAAACACCTGATGAGTTTTTGTTTTATTCCTTAATATGTCAGGGTTTTAAAATTAGGCAAATTTATTTCATTGTACCCTAATATCCCAATTTTTCCTTTTAATTTTTCTTTCCATTTTTTCCTTTTTTTAAAATGTAACAAAGTACTAGATTCAATGGAAGTCAAAAGGATCAGAAAATGATGAGAACGTAAAAGATTTGCAACAAGTTTGAGGCCACTCTGTACTACATAGAGACCCTGTCTCAAAAACAAAACAAAACAAAACGAAACTCCTATGAGTAGATTTTTTTTTTTTTTTTTTAAAAAATTTGAGACAGAGCTTCACTATGTAGTTGAGACTGACCTGGAACTCACTATGTAGCCCAGGCTCGTCTTGAACTCACAGCAATCCTCCTGCCTCAGCCTTCTGAGTGCTGGGATTACAGGCATGTACCACCATGCCCAGCTTTAGCTATTTTATTTTAAAGAGGAAACTGAGGCAGAAAGGCTAAGATGCCCACAGTTATACAGTTAATAAATCTTAGAATTCAAATTCAAGTGGTTAGGTGTCAGAGTTTACATTTCTAACTCTTATTAGTAGGGTTATTTGTATATACCTGGGAGTATTCGGGCTCTGAAGAATTCTCATCATTGCGAAATAATTTCACAGCTTTAAGGTATGTTTCCACTGACTTGAGTTTGGCTTTGTCAAAACCTAAAAGGGAACAACAAAAATCTATTAAGAAAGTCTCAAGTCTTGAGGGTTAAGTGTACAAAATTCTCAAGATGAGGAGCAAACCAGTACTTAGGTATTTACTTTCTCTCTCTCTCCTCCCCACCCCTTCCCTTGAGAAACCACATCTAGAAAGCCCAGGCTTTCAGAAACTTCAGTGGCACATATGGTTGTGCTGACAGCGCCAGCTGTGTCCCCAGGTGATGGCCAGCATTCACTGCCAGGCTTCAGGACTCCAGGCCCTGACGTTCAGACCTTGCAGTGGAAGGCCCAGACATGACACAGAGACATCCTGTGAGTGACCCACTGAACTACAAGGCAATTCATGATGGCTGCTGTTCTAAGCCACTGAATTTTAGGATGATTTGTCACGCAGCAACAGATCACTTGATATTCTAACTAGATTAACATGTAAATAAAGATAACACCTGTAACCATTTATCTCTCCACTGTTCCATCAGCCAAAATCCAGACATGAGAAAGTTTTACATTTGTGGGGTCCATACTCCTTCCAGGGTTTCCTATGATTATCATCTATTTGCCATTTATTTCATTTATTTATAATAATGTGCCCCCAAATTGAAGACTATTAAACACCCTCCCTAATGTATCTTTGATTAGAGGTAAGTACCTCAGCCACGATCTATTCACAGAAGCAAAGGATAAACAATTATAGAGGACTACTTTTGGGACGATTATACTGGACACTGAATGCTGAGCCTTCACACTGGACTACATCCTCAGTCCTTTTTTTAATATTTTGAGACTGGCTCTTGCTAAGTCACTCAGGCTAGACTCAAACATGTGATCCTCCTGCTTGAAACCTCCCCAAGTGCTGGGTTGACAGTCATGTGCTATCAGGCCTACTTTTTAAATAGCAGTCTTATGAAACATCAACACATCCTAGCTGGCACAGTGGCACACTTCTAAAAGCCCAACAAGAGAGACTGATGCAGAAGGACCAAATGGTAAAGCCCAATCTGGCAGTTTAGTGACTCACTGAGACCTTGTCTCAAAAAATGAAAAGAGGGCTGGGGGTGTAACTTAATGCAAAGACCTTGGGTTCAATCCCAAGTACCACTGAAAACTAAAAACTTAAAATAAATATCAACACATTTTGATTTGCAGATAGTTTATATTTTGAACAGCCAATGGAAGAATGATCAAGGGTCCTAGTTCATTAGGCTACAAAAAGATGTGGAACCTGTTATCCTATGCTTCTTTTGGTACATCTGTGCTTCTTTGTCCTTGAAAAGAGCTCTGATTCTTACACTCTCATCTGGCTCCTCCACCTGCTGTGCAGTGAGCAGTGGAGAACATACTCCAGGCTGACATCCAAGACAGTGGATCCCCAGAGCAGGAGCAGATAAGTGAGGTCAGGTCAGTGGTTCTCAGAGAACACTGCAGGGACAAGAGGGCAAACTCACCCCTGGGCCCTTAACCTGTCACTCACTAAAAGTATCATTTGTGTTTTGAGGCAGAAAGAGACTTAAAAGTGTTCTTTGCTGAAAACCAAGATTCATTTGGACCTATAGATGCCAACAGGTAAAAAAGCTTAACCTTTGTTACCTTAAAACTTTTCATAAAGGATGTTAATCACTTTGGCAAAACAAGGCTGATTAGCCCTAAATTCACGCAGCTTACCCTTGAAGACTGAGAACACCAACAGATATTCAGGGATATCCAGCGATACCCTAAAATCTAGGGTTGCCTGGGACTCCAGCAGAGCCTTGGAGATAGACGGCCCCTACGGAGGGCCATCTCCTGGGAACCACATTGCCGTTCAAGCCAACAGGGTTCCTTGGGAGCTGGGACATCAGGACAGAGATAATGATCAGCAGACCTTAGCCCATCGTGGTGGCACCCATGTGACTGCTGTCATGCTTTTATGAACAGCTTTTGGTCCTCAGACCAAAGTCTTTGCTTATCCTTTTTTTTTTGGTACTGTTGATCGAACTCGGGCCCTTGCCATTGCGACAGGCAGTGGGACAACTGAGCTACATCTCCAGCCCTTTTGGTTATCCTCGTATGTTCCTTTGTTAGAGTGGTGCTCTCCTTATTTTTCTTACTTTCCAATTAGAGTTTCCTATAAGTTCATACCGTTGCTTCAGTTTCCATGATCACTAAAGCAAGGACTCAGGCAAGCTGGTGACAGCATCAATAATTACTTTAAATCATTGTCAATGTATCAAAAGGACCTGTGTTTCAAGGACACAAACTCTTTACTGATACAGTCTGAGAGACACATTCAAAATTAGATAATCTCATTAATATTAACATGTATGATATAATTTACTGTAAAATATTGTCAAAAAGACACATCAGAAAGGTAACATGTTTCTTCAGATGATCATATACCCTCTTACCTGTATGTTCCAAATGTTTTAATGTCACATTGTCAACAGGGAAAAAACTGAGGATAGCACCATATTCTGGACACATGTTTGCTATTGTAGTTCGATCAACAACAGATAATTGTGAAACTCCACTTCCAAAAAACTCTACAAACTTTCCAGCTACTCCTACTTGCCTGAGGTGCTGTATAAAGGGATATATAGAAACAAACAAAATTAACAAGAATATTAGCATGGATTTCCTAAAAACTGTAAAACCTAATTTCTAATAACAGCAACAGCGAGGGAGCTGAGATACTTCATGGTTCATGGGAAACAATGTCACTGTTAACTAGGGAAAGAAGGGACTCAAAGCTCCATGTGGCTGCTGTTCCATGTACTGTCTCTGAAACCAGGGGAATTTAGAATGCAGCCTCTTTAGTTGACAGCCCTTTCCTTTCTTAGCAGCCCACGAAAACAAGGGCGCTTTCAACCACCGATGGTCTCTTGGATTTAAGGAAATGCAATACTAATACACTGGATAACACTTTAGGTTAAAACTATGTGCTGGCTATACAAACTCTTCAAATCACAACTACTAACCCAAATATTTACAGCATTATTTAGTTATAGGTAAATTCCATTTTGGCAAAATTTAACATGCTGTTTCAAACTTCTCTCTAAAATTATTATTCTTAGTTACTACTTATTCTTAGTTACTACTTAACCAGCACAATTACTCCTCTTTCCGAAATTGTGAAGTGGTCTCAGATGGGTCTGGGAAGAGTGCCCAGGATGAGGCTGAGTGAACCAGCCCTCAGCCTACGAATAACGTTGAGTCCTAACACTGTAAAAGTGCTCTTAACCCATGCACGCACGTGCGTGCATGTGTGCTCTCTCTCTACTAAGTGTAGAAACTCAAACCTTAAAGAAAGACATTTATTTATATGTTCGAGAATATGAGAAATAGAGATTAGACATAGTAAGTCAAATGCTGCCTTCATAAATTATTAAGGTACCACAGTATGTATTTGGGAAAACAACATGTGATTAATCCTGTAAAGATGAATAGAACAGAACTTCAAAAAATATGTACAATAAATGTAAATATACATAATAGGCTAAAAGTTCCTGACAGCAGGCTAAGATGTCAAATACACACACAGCAGTTTTAAGAAAAAACAGCCATACAGGTCTAAATAGCAGCATTAATTTTCAAGATGTCTATAGAATTGATTTTTCTAAAAACAAAACAGGGTATTCCTTTTCCTTTAGGAATAATCCTGCAATTCTCAACTTATTTGATCTTTGGCACCATCCACTGGATCAATCACTTCCCTAAGAAGCCAAATTATTTCCTAATTAAAGAAGAATCAATACCAACTGCAGAGAGTGAGGCATTCACATTTTCTTTTCCTGTGGAGTATCCTGAAAGTTCTCAGACCAGTAATTTAACCAAAATGCTAAGACACTGGGATCCAAACTGAAATTACAGGTGGAGTACTTTCTAGGTAAAAGCATATAAAAACAAAGGACTAAGGCTGGGGATTTAGCTCAGTGGTTCCAGAGCAAAGACCCGAGTTCAAGCCCCAGTACCGGGGCAGGGGGGAGGACTTAATCAAAGAAATGTGAAAGCAGCGAACAGAAAAATTTGATACTATCACATTTCTAGAGTCCTTTTTTTTTTTTTAATTCAAGCTGGCTTGAACTTACAGCAATCTTCCTGCCTCAGTCTCAGGCATGTGCCACCCAT